TGTGTGTGTGTGTGTGTGTGTGTGTGTGTGGAAGCGAGTGCATTTTGCCACCCACTTTCATCTCAGCAACCAGAAAACTTGGGGGGCTAAAATTTCGGGTACGTATTCCTACTCCGTGTGCCACCCTCCCGTTTTAAGATCTCCTCTCACACACGCCTACGCTCCGCGTACGGAACCCCCCAGAAAAATATGCAAATTTCTTGGCGAGAAGTGACTTCGTGAACCAGGCAAGGTAAAAAGCTGAAACTTTGCAGGGATATTCTTTGTGCGTTTGCGAGCTAAAGATTTCAAATTCAGCTGCCGCGGATGTGCAGTGCATACGGCCAGGTCAAATTTTGCGACTTGGTACTGTGCTAACTCAAGAACTCGCCGGAAAACAGAGGCTGAAATTTTTTCAGGATGTTTGTCTCCCATACAGAAAATAGTATTCCTAAAATGAATATCGATTTGCACTTGTACCACGATCTAGGGCACCTCAAAGATATTTGTAGCGAAGTGGAATTTTCGCTTGCCGGATAAGCTGCGAGGCTGAAAATTCGCTGGAATGTTCTGCTTTCAAGCGCGGTCTAAATTCTGCTTGCAGATGAAATTCCCTGCAGGTGGGCGTGAGAAATACTCAACTTTACTTGTGGCTGGAGGATCTGAGAAAGCAAAAAAATGTAATTTTTCCTTCAGCTCATTGATATTGTGGTCCAGTATGAAATTCCCACTGATATGGAACTCTTATGAGAAAAATGATTTCTAGAAGTACCTAGCCAGGCTCGTTCATTTGCGCAGCTAGCTGTACTGATTTCTTTTAGCATCTTCCACTTTTGCATATGCTGGATGCCAAACGATCGATACATACTTTCATTAATAAATCCCTACTCTTGCTTCTTGAAATCCTACTCATTTGTTTTCCTAAATTTTTAATCGCTATCGGCACAGAAAAAATTTCAGCATGGATATTAAGATATGGGTTATTTGTATACACGGAAAGTGACGCAGTAATGGAGGAAAACCGATTCCTTTGCGCTGAATAAAGCCCGAGGTAGCTTGTAATCGTGACTTGATTTCCAGTAGCTGTAGACACAGGAAAAATTTCAACACTAGGCTTTTTTTGTGTTGATTAATGTCAAGAAATTTTTATTGAACATAAAAGTACAACGAATTAAAATAACTGCAACTAAAACAACAAGAAAGCTTTTATTGTGAAGCAGCCGAAAAAAAATTACAAATACTCATACAACAAACTGTAATGGCACGGCAATGCCATAATAAAGGGCAAAAGTTCAATGAAGAGCTGTAGAATTTTCCGAAGCTCGTTCTGCAAGCAGAATATCGCGTATTAATATTGCCTGCAATGGTTTTGGCGTGATGTCGGTTTGATTATTTTTTTTTTTTTTTGAATATTTTGCATAAATTAAGGACAGTACAAGTAACGTCGCCGGTGGGTATGGCGGAACGGAAGGTAGTACTGTAGCTACGCTACTTTCCATTCTGCCATACTCGCCGACGGGGATTGCAGTGTTTCACTTCGCCAGTGGGGCAATCAGCTCTTCCGCGATTTATTTTTTCGTTTCGATGGTAAAGGTACTGGCATATGTGAATATCAGCTCGCTTGCTAACAATCCTCGAAAGAGAAAGTCATCAACAGCATTCTAGCTTGACAAACAAAATCAAACATGCGTCGCATTTCCAACAAAAACTTCTAACTTTGAATGACATTTCCTGTTTTCGCTAGCCATTTTGCAGGCTTTCCTAGATGGAGCGAAGTCGTGAAGGATGGACGAAATTCAAAAAACCAACCAAATTTCACCTCTCTGAAGGACGGGAACACCAGAGAGAGAGTCGAACGGTAAAATCACTTCGTTAACACCAATATCCTTGACAGCTCCCTCATTAGCAGAATAAGCCAGCAAAAGGTGTTGTGATTTCCTGGTTTATCACGGATGCACAGTAAACAGTCTGGTTTCTCACACTGATAATTTGACTAGCGGCTCAAGCTTGAAAGCAGACGCTGCACACCAACACCGGGTTTTCAAACAGCCAGCAATATTGAAAAAATCCAGCAGGGTGTAATGTGATGCAGGTTCAGGATAGCTGCTTATGCAAGTTTCCTGGACTGAAGGACGCATTGTTGCGTAAATCTGCTTTCCTCCTTCGAAAAGGATCGATGGAGGAGAGCAGAGGCAACGGAAGAAAGGTGAAGTTACAAAGCAAGCGAGGTACTTTGAATATTTGCAACATAGTCTGGTTCAGAAAATACCAGTACAGAGGTAAGTTTTGTGCTGTGAAGTGCCGTAAATGAATGCGGATGCTGGACTCACCTGGGCTGCCTCTTAGAAACACGACCACAAGCGGAACACTGATATATGTAGATGAGACGAGTACACAATAAGCAGCAGCACAAAAAGGACACCGGTGGGAAAAGCATGCATACAACTAATATCGTAAAAACTCTCCACCAGTTCCTGAAAGCGAATAAATCTGATTTGATGCATGAAGGCTCTGGACAGTGGGTCATCAGTTTTACCACCAGTTTTTCTGTTATAGCAGTCATTGAAGGGTATGCGATAGCGGTATTCGGGTCTGGAAGCATCTCAGCAGCATCACTAAAATGAGATATCTGTACCGACTGTCGGAGCTGTCTTGGTATTCCTGGCACCTCTGGACTGAAATTTTTTTCTTACTTAACGAAGAAAAATATAACAAAATCAAAACAAAATGAGTGGCAAGAAAGCAACGATCTGGGAGAAGCAGTAGCTATTTCATTTGTGTATGTAAAAACAAATTTACGAAATACATGCTTCCGAACACTGCTCCCTTTGCCCTTTTGCCGAATTATCAACTGTTTTCGTGAAAAAACTTGCAAGTAAGAAAGGACTGCGTTAAGTGAAGCAAAAAGAACAGGAACCAACTTTTTTCTTTCCATTACTCCACGTCTGCAGAAACAACAAATCCTGCAGTCACAAGGAAGCACATCACCGGCACCGCCTGCATTTGCATTCACAACGATATTGACTGGCTTGTCAGATGCGGGCGGATAAGGCATTGGTAGTGCAGTCGCTACAATTAGCCACCAACGGATCAGTTAAATTATTCGAAAAAAGCAAAACAAAATTTCTAAAAGTTACTCATTCAGTGAATTTCAAATTGGTCAGCACATACAGTGCATTTATAGTATTGTTTTCTGCGCTGCGACCTCGCTTTTCAGAGATCAAAACCGCTGAAGGACGCACTGTAAAGTTCGTGATTTTACCAAAATACAGTGGCCATACCGACTTGGGACGAATCATCGTCATTAAGAATGTTCGTGAAGACTCAAATGCTGTTAAACAGGAGGACATATTAAATTTTGAAAACAGCTTACCTTGTGGCACCATCATTGGCATGATGACTGGCTGCAGTGGTGAAGGAGTTGATGGATTTACTGAAACTGGAAGGTCGTACGGCTGACCACGATACGGCACCGGCTTAGGTTGTTGTGGCGTAGTTGTCAATCCTGGACCACTAGGCTGTGGAGGGCTGTATGCCGGCGGAGGCGATGTGCCCATTTTTGCGGCTTCTGTCATTCTCTGAAAAAATTTTAATTCACGTTTGTTGCGAAAGCAGCTTGGTCTATGTGTATAATCGGGCATTAATAAAATGAATTTTGGGCAAGAATTCAGCTCAAACGTATGTGATCGTTGATTTTGAACTGTATGGATGGTACGTGGGTTGCAAGCACGTTTGTAGTGTCTTCTGGGATAGCTGAGTTGAATGAGAGCGACAAAAATCCGAATACACACATATACACATCTACCGGCAACCTCTTGGCAATAAACTTTTTTGCATTCACAAAAAGTTGCGAACACGCTTAGAAAATGCTCCGTTTGCTTGATTCTACTAGTGTTTGTTACTTTGGTGAGCTGCGCAACGGCAAATCCTGGAAATCACCAAATCATCCTCTGCTCTACTGAAACGAAAATAGCGTCGTAAACTGCCCTATCGCTAGCATGTTAGGAGAAGCAGTTTTCAGAGGCGACCGGACAAAAAAAAAGTTTAGTCTGATTTACTCATCCGATATCATGCAGCAGTGATGCAACATAAAAGGCAGCTTGCAGCTTCCATTATTTTGGGAAGATCGCCTGCTTAGGGAGCACAAAAAATATCAGAAAATGCAAAATCCTGCCCGGCGGAAAAACAGCCAAAATATTGGCCGGAAATTTGTCAAAAATGCATCCAAGTCAGAAAGAACCTGTTTAATTATTATAAAGAGAAAATATAAATTCACAAGGGCTAAATTTCAAGTTAATATGCTGAAAAAATATCAGTAGGGAAGAAAACCGATTTAGCCACAGGATACCATTTTAAGATCCGAACAGCACCATTTTGCTGGATCTACCTGCCCTCCTTTTACATGATGTTGCCACACCAACTTCCAGAACAACAGACACATTCATCCTACAGATCACTCCACTGCATGAAAAAAACATTTGCAAGCGGCATATCGTGCACAGATACGTCGTCTATTAAAATTCGTGTACGACATCAATTCGTCTGCTGAGGCTTTTTTGAACCGAAAAAACGGTGGATTAAACTTGTTAAAGACGTCATGGAATGCGACGTGAATTACTCGTAGTTCAAAAAAATAGAATCTAAAACCTGGCATCATCCATGCAACGCTGCGCTTCCTTCGCATTTTTGTAGCCATCCACTTCCCAGTCAATTTGATATTTGGAAGCGGACGAGACCGAAAGTCATCTGTCGCCAAAGAATTTCTAACTGGATCTGATGCCACAATTGACCGATGGGCAAGCTGAGTCTGACGTCAGGCGTTTAAATCAAATCCTTATTTTTCAAACTCAGTTACATTACGGAATCGCGTGAACTTTCAGCACGCATGATTATCAATTTTCATGCGTTTTTGCCTACATGCAAATTGCAAAAACGCATATTGGGACGACCCTGTCTGTGTGTATGTTTGTGTGTGTGTGTGTATGTGTGTGTGCGTGTGTGTGTTCGTCTGTCCGGGTATTTCAACTCGGCAACCAAGCAAGTTCCAGCACCGAGATTTT